TTAAAAGGGGTAAGGTGTAGATTAATTTCTATTGTAGATTAATATTAAGAGACATTCGATTAATAATTAATTGTTACAATTTTTAAGTAGCAATTTTTATATTTATATAATTTTTATATTATAATTATCAAGCAGTATTGTCAAGTTCTTTATCAAAATTCTGACACGTTCTTTTTTGTCGAAATATATAAATTATACGTAGCTCACGCGACGCCTAATCGATCAACATTTGCGACTACAAGAATATCAATACGCTCGATGCATCTCACGCGCATTAACGCAGAAAGGATCGGGCAAAATCATGCAGTGACTTCAGCTTGGGGCGTTACGTCGGGGGAAAGAAATTATGGGACACAATAGGGTAGGGTTCAAAGTGCGTGGAGTATCGGTTTAATATACGGAAGGTATCACGGTTGTAATTTTCTTCTCCGTACCTTATTATTTGCACTGTGACAATTCTAATTCTATATTTGTGAAGCACAAACAGGCATCGTGAGTATAATCGGATACGTGATAATAAAAAATCACGATACGATTAGCATCAACGAATCAAGACTATCATTTGAGAACGAGATTAATAATAACAAGAAATTTTAAATAAATCGTATTTTTTTTTAAACACACGCAATTCAATTTTCCTAAAAAAAGAAATCTCTAATATTAAATATCAGATAGACAACCACGTAGAAGTAAAGAGTAAACGTGGTCTAGAAGGTAAAGGAGAATGATCCATGTAGCTAAATGAGAAAGAGCCTTGGACGAGGGGTTGTGCAAGATCCTGGCCAAGGGTAGGTATAGTTATATACAGTGGCACAATGGCAACGGCAGAGTGCATTACGGTTAATACACGAAGGACCGTGGTCGTTTAGCCGAGGATCTCGGCAGTTACCGCTTCGCAAAGGATAAATCATCTCGTGATTTCAACCACGCCTACCGTAGGACAGAGAAGCGGCTCCCCCAGACCGTAACGTACGGCCTAGACGTTCTCTATACCATCCTCTCTCTTTCCCTCTCTTTCTCCCTCTTCCTGCGTTATATGTCCGCTCGATGAAAACACCGCTTCCAAGAGCGGAAAACTAATAATCCCTCGCCGCGGATATCCGTTCTGGAACAGTCACTGGCACGGAACCGAATATATATTGATAGCCCGATTGCGGATGTTTTCGACTATCCGGTGGAATGAGCATCGATTATCGAGCGAATTTTAACGGGGAGCTTAATGGGGATGACTTGGAATATCTAAGATTGCGACATTATTTTCAAGATCCAAAGGAATAGATAAATGGATGGAGTCGAAAAGTGTTAAATGTTTGAGGATCATTTTGCTCTTTTATATTTTCTGAATAATATAAAGTGGATGAACATTCTCCCTCAATGGACAGTTAGAATGAATTAATCTGTTCCACTAATAACAGTTGGAAACAAGGGGCAGAGGTCTGCAAATAGAAGGTGACAGACGTTTGATACAGAGGGCACAGACCGGTGAAATTCGTCGCGCTCTCTCGAGCTGCGATTTGTCTGCTCAATTTCACGGCCCTATTGGGGAAAATGGGAAAAATCTCCCGGCGCTCGAGTAGCAGTGCCGAGTGTGGGAAATAGACCGCGTTAGTTTCACCGTTTATTATTTGCCACTCCTGTTCCGTGTGGGTGTGAGAATTCAGTTTCACACTTCTCTTAATCTTGAGAAGAAATCTAATCTCGTGTACAGTGTATTTTATTTTATCTACAATTCTTTTAAATTATCTTTTAAATCTATGAAAAAAATTCTTTAAAAATTCAATTCTCCCTTTCCCAAACTCGATTAATCCGTTAAATTTACACATCGATATTATTGACACCGGATAGAGCAATTTATTCTCAATTACCATTGTGTTATTTAAAATTCGAATCAATAATCCTAAATTTGATTCACTTTTCCTTCAATTTTCAATCTCATCGTGGAATTAAGAGAGAAATATTTTAATAATCTTTCAAATCCTATAGAAGCATCCCTTTTCTTTCCAAATCATATAATCAATAAAAAATAAAATCCTAATTACAGAAGCATTTTCTACCAAATTATCTCAAACCAAAAATCCTCAACTCTATAAAATCCAATATCAACCATTACAAAAACATTCCTTACCAAATTATCCTCTTTCTTTTCAACACTTGCACGATCAACCATAGAAAAATTTCCGATCAAAAATTTCTCCAAAAAAGATCTTCCGTTCCCCAATCAACCCTTAACCACTCGACGATCCCACCCGTTCCCCCTCTACAAAAACCGCGGCAATCAAGTCACGTCCGCGTACGCAACAAACAACGAACGTGAAATCACGCGAGAGAAGACACGCAAGAGTTCCTTTCCCGTTAATCGGTCTCATTACCGCGCCTACTCGTAAACCGTCCAAGCCACCTTGATCGAATCCGCCGGTGGCAGCCGAGTTCGAGGCGCAAAAAAAAAAAAAAAAAAAAAGAAAAGAAAAGAAAAGAAAAGAAAAGAGAAAGAGGGTGAAAAAGGCGAGCATCGTTTCGCGTCCGGATCCGTGTGCACGCCGCTCGTGCAGCCTGTCTGCCTCCAGGGGGCGAGAGGAGGAGTACGGTGGCCGTGGAGCGAGCGAATGAGACCCGAAGAGGCGAAGAGGTGGATGAGGGAGGGCCGGGGCATGGAAACGGAGTTTAATGTTCCCCTCCAGTGGGTGACTCGAGGGTGTAATTGCCGTAGTGGGCGGAACGGAGCGGGTATAGCGGCTGATGGGCGTGGTTCGCTGATTACACCGCGTTGATACTGATATCTCGGCTACCGGCGACGAGGCCGCACCCCTCCACGACCCCCTGCTTTTCC